AGAGTTTTTTTAAAATGTTCAATGCATTTGTTCTCTTTGAGGGGCTGGCAGGCATTCTACTTTCTAACTCTTCTAGACGCCAAAAGTTGGAAATTTGTTTTCTATTGTTGACAGCAATCATGGTATAATCACGCAACAAATGTATGTTCCACCATCGTGCGTGTACTGTTGTACAGACCCATGATACCCATCAAGGCGGTTTCAGCGGTAAACAAGACCATTTACAATCGGCACCTATTGACCAGAGTTGAAGCGTATCAAAAATACTTCGGCTCCTAAAAGCAAAATCAATTTCCCCGGGCTTCGCGTACGTCGGATCGGCGAACTCTATATACTCGGTATTGCGTATGAGTTGTTTAAATATATCGGACCTGTCGGTAATTTGGACGTTATCTTAGGTAATGTCATGAAGTTGATGGACCTCGTATACGCGTCAGCCGCGCTCGCACTTCCCGCCGTGACTACATGTGATACTCGACATTCGGCAGAGTTCACTCCGAAATAGCACAATCAAATTTGTGTTTGGTGAGCCGCAATTTATTTGCTAAGTAGTTAGTGATGAAATTACCTTGCGAAGCAGAATCTAGTAACGCACGCGCTAAAAATGGTTCGTTGAACCACTAAAAATTTTAATGTGCCGTATTGAATAACAAACTAACCAGCACTCGATGCATGGCACCGTCGCGCTTATTGACGTAGATGGTGCAGTTTCTACGTTTTGTTCGGCAACATTTTCGTGTAACAGCGTGTTGTGGTGTTCTCCGCATTTTCGACAACCTTAGATTTGCACTACTGTTTCTTCTTTATGTTTTGATAAAACAATTGAATTTATTTGGTGATAACATTTTCTCGTCGCTCTTTCCCGTGAGATCTAAATTGTTTGCATTTATAAATCGCGTGAGGCTCTTCACAAACATAGCATTGAATTTACTACCGTGGTGTGGGCAAATAATGACTTGTTTTCGGTTTAATGTTTCCCTTTAGTTTGTTGTCTGTTATCGGCATTTGCGACAGCCCGTTTCCGAATTTGTGTAAACCTTGCGCGTTTTCGATAGATTCTAATATTTGGAAACGGCCCTTTAAAAACGCTATCAGTTCTTCGACCTTTGGAACTTCGGTTTAGGAGCTTGGGTTTCCCATGCTCGTAATGGCATTGTCGAGCTTTATTGAGATAATGTAACAACGCATCGGGCTATGATATAGGGCTGTGGCAAGTCCCTTCCTAGCGCTTTAATGTGACTGAACAACGTCGACAAACTGCCTCAACTTTCCTGACAGTTCTCGGTTGACCTTTCTAAGTCAAAATCGCCTTTGGCGTAATGTGGCGCATAATTCGTTTGTTGTTAAATCTCACGTTTAAACAATCCCACGCAATTTATAATTCTTGGCGAGATGTTTCAAGCATTTACAACTTCATTTGCATCTCAGACAATTACGGCCTTGAGGTGGCTTTTGAACTTCTTTTAAAGCTTCATTTATATATAAGTGCTTGTGAACATGTCGTTAAACGTCGACCATTCTTTTATAATTACCACTAAACTGTGGTACGTTTAGTGCTGCTAACTTGACTATTGACACTTGATGACTGCTGGCTGTACTTCCAGTAGTTCACTGTTACTTATATTTTGGTTTGACCGGTTTATTTAACATTTTCGCTGTCTGATAAGCGAAAGTACAAAATCTTAAATTCGAAACGATAATTTTCTTCGACTGTGGCAGCTGGCGGTAGTGACCTTAAACTTCCTGGACTGTATATTCTGAAATTCCTCCAACAATCTTCGATTATTTGTTTCGTACTCGAATTTGCAATACGTCTCCATCTATTGCGAAATCTTGTAAAAATTTTACGAATTTCGTGATACGAACTTTAATGTACCCTCCGTATCGATAGAGCAGGTGAGATCGTCGACATGACGCAGATAATCTGATGGTGGCTTGTAAAAACTATTATCTGCCTTGCTTATCGTACGATTTGCGCTGTTGCGCACGAGTTCAACTTGTAGTCGCGCGCTGATCTCGTTAATTTTTATTACCGTAAATACGGTACGAACAATAATTCTAGCGGGAATTTTATTTTTCTATTATTGGTATGGCTTGCGGGAAGAAAAAGTTGTTATGTGACTCTCTTACCTTAAATCCTGTACAAGTTCTGCATACTCCTCCAGCGACCAGTTGACGTGCTTTGACTTATGGTTTCTTCGTTAATGTTGTCCTTTTCTGCTGCCAGGTGTCTGACTCCTTGATGGAACAGACTTTAACTGTTTAAACGCACTCGAACCGCCTAAATTACCGCGGCTAATTTTCGTACCGCCGCATTATTTATGCCAAAATTATCGGACCAGACGGAACCAATATTGGTGAGGAATACCCGATATAACCGTCGCGACGCTTTAGTATAAATTATGTGACTTCGCTGGGCTATGCGTATTGCTACGCGTGTGGTGTTAGTGCCAGGATACTTCATGACACTACTAATATTCTAAAACCAAATACCAATGCGTCGCCTGACGTAGGCCTAAGCAATTTGTGTACTAACGTGCAGTCTACCTGCTACAGTGATAGCAGTATGAATCAATTTTCCGGCTCAACATGTTTATTATTAAAATTTTAAAAAGTATTGTGACTTCAAATTGCTCAAACACCACACCAATATAAGCAACAAAAATATATATATAAAATACCTGTCTAACAATAACAATTTGTCTAAGCCTTGTTATGTAGACAGTACAATGAATAACCATGTTATTGGTATACATATACAAACCAATTTAATTTTCCGTTAATTTTAAAAATTCAGCTTATTTTACAGTGTACATGCTAAATTTTATTAATTTTGGATTGATGGTACTTGCTATCTGACCCAATTTAATAAGATCCATTTTGGTCACTGTTGCCTCTCTTCAATTTATGATATGGCAGGTAACTGGCCTATGGCATATATTCCTTCCTTTGGGTGGTGCCTTAAATTGCAAACCTCTATGAGTGAACTGCTTATAGCCGGGTGATTTTGGTAGAATATCTTTTAAAACCCAAATTACAATAAATTCGGTTTGTGTACCGCCGTGATTCTTGTGTAACCATTGACAGTAAATAATTAGCAAGCCTTTGGTTTTACGAATGCGAACGGATACTTTCTGTTCTGCCTGATACTTTCGAAACATCTTATAAATAATACTCTGTCGGTAATTCACTGTTATAATTTCTGGTTTGTTTGAATTTTCCTCTTCAAGTCAGCGTACGTTCTGCTGGACCGCAAATAAATTTTGATATGCCGTTGGCTGGCACCTATAAAGTCCTTATAATTGCGACCATCTGGTGTTTCGTGGTTCGTGGCTATATTCAAATAATAGGTTTAATATAAACACCATGCCGCAATTGCCGTTGCCATCACCAATACCGCATATGCAATTTAAAGTATTTTAAACTCACCTTATTAAACCACGGCGCTACTATAAAGGACATTTCTGCGGTATTTTGAAGAGAGGTTTCCGGCATTTTGTGTCTTTTAGTCAGCTACGACTCGAGCGGTACACGGCCGGCCGATAAGGACGGGTTAAATATTGCCGCTGCCAGGCGCAAAAATAATCATATAATATGTTTGCCGTTGTTTTCAGTGGATGGTAATATAAACAGGAGCGATGGTTTGGTAAAAATAATTATATTTTCATTATTATTATTATGATTGATGCGGAAAGTGATGCCTAATCAATTGCTGAAAAACAAAATTGAAAAGCAATAATTATGATTATACATATAAATAAATGCCTTATTAACACCTGTATACACCGTTACTTCAAGGAGGGACATATACAACATAAGTAATAAATTTGAATTGTATTTTAGGAAATTAACGGCGCCTGCTCCCATGGTCTTAAAGCACACTATTTGCGAAAACCAATTCGTTCATCAACACCTTTAAATCAATGTTTTGGAAAAATTACTTATGGAGAATAAATTATAATAAAGATATAGATATGGGTGCGGTCCGCTAAATAACAGTTTATTATCAGCAAAAATGCTGATAGCATAAGTTTAGGTAGAACATCATGGTTATGCTATACAAATACTTACAAATGTGTAAACAAAAATACGGCGCAAATTATCTGCAACACATAAAAATAAAATAAAATAATTTTAATAAATATGAATGTAAAGTTGCAATGTTAGATAACATGAAATATTATAAAAGTATGTTAAGTGGGTTCTCAATACAATGACTGTTTATTATAGTTGTATGATATTTATATTAATAATTTTAAAATGTGCTATAATTTACTGTGCAAATCATATGGTTCTGTGTCTCAATATACATTAAATTGAATTATTTGATAACACCATTGACCCAGTACTGCTGAACGACTCCTTCCCATTACCTAGGTCGGTAAACTCTGGTGAACCCTGGATCAACCGCTCTGTAGACCCTGGTCCGGTAAAACTGCTGTATGCAATTCAGGTAACTGATGTTTGGTGAATTTCTGGAATGGAGCGGAACGCAGATGCTGATTGAAAGTCTAGTAGGCGAAAACCAGTGATAACGACGTTTGGAACGTTGGTACCTCAGTTGGTGGTTTGCGGTTTATTAAATAATAATCGCCTAACTAGCAAAGTATATAAAGTCCGTTCAGACATTTGGCTGTTGAACCTTCATTAAATTTAGATGCCATACGCAGCCGTAACACCTGCTTTGTGCATAAAATAATGTACATTCGAAAAGTATTAAGTATTATCAGTTCGTAAACCAGTGAATATCAGTTGACAGGGCAATCCCGATTTCGGATTGGATGTTACATGGATGCCGTGCGCATTATGGAAAATAAATAAATACATTTCGAAAAACAATTAAGTGTCTGATTATCGCAGTCATCGTCCAGTGAATATCGATTCCCGTACATGCTTCTACGGATACGGGGAAGAGTCTTAATGAAATTCTATTAAAAGGCTCGTCAATTCAAGATGACTTAATTAATATCATTAGTCGTTTTCGCACACACAAATATGCGATGTCAGCCGACATCGAAAAAATGTATCGGCAAATTTGGATCGCCGAAAAAGACCGCGACCTTCAACGTGTGTTGTGGCGGGAAAACCCAGCTGAAGAAGTAAAGGAATACAGACTTAACACGGTAACATACGGAACGAGTTCAGCTTCTTATTTAGCTACAGCGTGTTTAAAAATGTTAGCTGATGATACGAGATCGTTATTTCCGGAAGCAAGCTTGGCAGTCGCATCAGATTTCTACATGGACGATTATCTCGGAGGTGCACAAACGATCGACGCCGCCATTAAATTACGTGACGGAATAGTAACGATTACAAACAAATGTGGATTCAATTTGCGGAAGTGGGTGTCGAATGATAAGCGACTATTAACTGGAATTCCGAACGACGACAACGATCCGCTGCGCGTACTAAATTTAGATGGCAGCGCTGTTAAAACGTTAGGCTTGAACTGGAGTCCGATTAATGATACATATACATACAAAATCGATAAGATGAATAATGATGGGGTCATTACGAAACGTACGGTACTGTCTGCGATCGCGACAATATTCGATCCGTTATCATTGATTGGTCCAGTCGTAGTAAAGGCTAAGATGTTTATGCAGCAATTGTGGACAAATAAAATTAGCTGGGACGAAAGACTACCGCCACTATTATACGACGAATGGAACACGTATTATGAAGATATATTTGAAATAGTACAAATACAAATACCACGGTGCGTAATAGGAGTTGATAAGGCGATCCGTATACAAATACACTGTTTTGCCGACGCATCAATAAAAGCGTACGCGGCAGCGATGTATTTACGTGCAACAGACGAATACGGCAATCACGTCACCCGCTTAATCGCTGCCAAATCGTGAGTAGCCCCACTAAAAGTAATTTCTTTGGCCAAATTAGAATTATGTGCAGCCGTCTTACTCGTGCGCTTAGTTAATAAAATACTACCTAGTTTGCGCATTAATTATGTTCGACGTTATTTTTGGTCCGACTCCACAATAGTTTTGGCATGTATAAGTTCACCAGCATCTAAATGGAAAACCTTTGTGTCACATAGAGTCGGAGAAGTACAACAGTTTTCCTCTGCAACAGAATGGTCACACGTTAGGTCTAGTGAGAATCCCGCGGATGTACTATCCAGAGGTTGTAGTCCGAATCAATTACGTGAACACAAATTGTGGTGGGAGGGCCCACAATGGTTGCAGGTCGATGAAAGTTTGTGGCCTAATGCCAGAGAAAAGGCACCGTTACCACCCGAAGATATGCCGGACTTAAAAGGCGAAAAACCAGTTGTGTTAAGTACAAAGGTCGAATTTGGAATAATTGAAAAGTATTCATGTTTACAAAAATTACTTCGTATTACGGCTTATTGTATGCGTTGGAAAACATATGATAGTAAAAATAAACATTTTTCGGCGGAAATCGAAACAGAAGAGCTTAATGCCGTCAAGACGTTGTTGATTAAATTAGTTCAAAAACAATATTTTATTGAAGAAATCAAATGTTTAATTGCTAAAAAAGATGTTAGTAAACGAAGTAAGTTAAAATTATTGTGTCCGTTTATCGATAAGAACGGTGTATTACGAGTCGGTGGACGTCTAAATAATATGCAATCAATCAATGTCGATAAGCGAAATCCAGTATTATTACCAGCACAGTCTAAATTAGGCTGGGGTCACACGAGCGTTGAAAGAACGGACGTTACGACGGACGTTATAACGTCCGTTGTTGAATTATATGATTTTACTATACGATGGTCACACGCTTGACGTCCGTTGGATTTGCCATCCGTTCGACGTTGGTAACGTCCGATACATGCTACGACGGACGTAAATAGCGCTTATCGGACGTCGTAGTTTATTATTAGATATTATTGACTCGGTCACACGATCATTGTTTTGACGTACGTTAATCGTGAAAACTGTGAATTTTTCTGTGGAAAATATTTAAAAAAATACTTGAAAATGGACGTAGAACTATTAATAACAGAAATAGAAAAACGTCCAGTTATATGGGATGTAAGTGACGAACTGTATAAGGATAGAAATAAGAAAAATGATGGATGGATGGAAGTTGCAACTGTTGTATTTGAAAATTTTGGTGAAAAAACTAAAACAGAACAAAAAGTTATTAGTAAGTACTGACTATATTAATTTATTTTCATATGATATTAATTAAATAATTAATAAATAAATAAGTTTAATTATAATATAATATATATGTAATATGTATACTGGATATACAGATGAACATAAATAATATTTTAAATTTTTTCATTCTGCCATGCCACTTGTCCTAATTCACTATTGAAATAATTTGTCAGTGCATCCCGATATCTGTTAATAGATCTGTTTACGTTTAAATTATTATCTAGTTCAATATCGTCCATACCAGTTACCATAAGAGAATCTTCAAATTCATATCCATCACATGCGTGAACAAAATAATTATGCAAAACACAACAACATTTGACAATATCAATTGCTAATTCTATATCAACATCTATTGCGCGGTGAAATATTCTCCATTTATTGGATAAAATTCCAAACGCACACTCAACATAGCGTCGAGCACGTGAAAGTCGATAGTTGAAAATCCTTTTATTGATTGGTAAACATTTTCCTGCATATGGTCTTAACATATTTGTAGATAACCCAAACGCTTCATCGCCCACAAATGCATATGGCATAGGTATCTGAATACCACGTATTAGATTAGGTTTTGGAATGTTTAGTGAATCATTTTGTAGTTTCTTATATAAAGTTGAGTTTTTAAAAATTGTAGGGTCTGAATCTTTGCCAAATGAACCAACATCAATAAATGTGAAACAATAATTAGAATCAACCACTGCTAATAAAACTACAGAAAAAAAATGTTTGTAGTTAAAATAATGAGACCCACTTCCATGTGGTTTGATAACTCTAATGTGCTTTCCATCAATAGCACCTATGCAATTAGGAAATTGTGCACGTTGTTGATAACCTTCCGCGATTTCTAACCATTTTTCTTCATTTGGTGTTGGTATACATTCATTGTGCATAACTTCCCATATTTGCGAACACACTCTCCGTATAATACCACATAAAGTCGATCTACCAATTCTATATTCGTAGTGTAAATCTTGAAGACTGTTTGTACTACCCAGGTACCTGCAAAGGGAAAACTTTGATAAATATAGAATTACAAAAATAAAATTAACCGATTACTAAAAGTATGTTATATAGACCATGGACGTATAGTATGTTATGCATAAAACTAAATCCTGCATTTATTATAATTTAATACATCTATTATAGTGACCTACTAATTGGCTGCTAAACAGCAGAGCGTTACTCACTTGTTTTTTTCTATTTGTTTTACACAGTACAAGATCTTATATCAAAATGGAGAAGTGTACGTGATAATTATATTCGTAGTTTAAAAAAATAAGCAGAATGTAATAAGTCTGGAAGTAGTAGAAAAAGAGTTCAACGTTATATTTTTGAAGAACAGCTTTCATTTTTGAAAAAAAAATAGAGAACTTCGTCCCACTACGAGTAGTATTCAATTAGAATCGAATGAGGAAGATCTTGATGCAACGCAATTGTCAGATAACATTAATGTAGTAGATGAAAGTTTAATATATGATAATATAAATAATACAAATAATGCAGAAAAAACTATTTCGACACCTCCACCAATTAAAAAAAAGAAAATTAATTTAGAAGAAAAACTTGCTTTGTTTTTGGACTCGAGACAAAAAAAAAGTAATGAACCAAACCAAGATACTGATGACGAGGACCTAAACTTCTATAAGTCAACATTACTGTTAGTTAAGACATTTAACGTGGATCAAAAAATGCAATTTCGTATTCAACTCATGCAGCTTCTACAACGAATAAAACTAACCAATAATGTACCTTCATATTTCCAACCACCTGGTCCAATTTTTGACCCCAATTCTGGTGTATCGATATCTTCATTAAATCATAATTATAACTCATCTATGCCTATGTACCCGTCTACAATACAACACACTCCAATGTACAACTATGACGAATTGTCACGAGGAAGTATACCTAACACAACTTCACCATTATCGTCTAACAACTCCGTTACTGGATATTTTAGTCAGTTTTCTCCAGATGAACAAAACACGTCTACAAGTAATATGTAAATTTAAAATGATACATAAGATAATGTATATAATTTTAATTTTTTTGTTAATTAAATGCTAAAGAATAAGGATTACCAATAAGCATACTAAAAGTGTATTGTTATTTTATTTTTAAATTTTTCATTAAATATAATTTTAAAAAAATGCAAATATAATTATTTATTTTGTACATATCACGTACCTCAAAGTAACGGCCAACATCTCTTCTGCTGGTATCGCAGATCTCATAACTGTATCTTGACGCATTATTTTAGACTTAATTTTGTTGAATAGCTCGTCAAATGTACTTTGTGACATGCGAAAATAATTGAAAAATTTTTCATTGTCAGCTCTTAGCATGTTGTAAAGATTGTAAAATGTACCACTTAACAATCGTTCACTATTTATTGGATGAACCCACCATCTTCGATTCGCACGTTTTTTTTTTCGTAATACTCTTATAGCTGAGTATACAAAAATTGCGGTGTCTAAATCGTCCATTTTGTAAGATGTGAAATTATCGACTGACGTTTTACGTTCATGTGACTAGGGTAGTGACGTCCGTTAAGATTTAACGTCCGTTGCATCGTCCGTTCTTTCAACGCTCGTGTGACCCCAGCCTTAACAACATTAATATTTATGTACGAACATTATCGCCAATTACATGTAGGTCCTCAAGCACTATTAGCGTCAATTAGGGATCGATACTGGCCATTGAACGGTAGAAATATCGCTAGATCAATTGTAAACAAATGCGTTATTTGTTTTAAAACTAAACCGTTTACCTTTCAACCAGTCATGGGGAACCTACCAAAAGAACGTATACAACCTTGTCGCGCGTTTGCTACCACTGGAATGGATTTCGCCGGTCCCGTCAAAATAAAAGTTAGTACCCGCCGTAATGCTCAAACGTTAAAGGTGTACATATGCGTGTTTGTGTTTGTCACTAAGGTACACATTGAGTTGGTGAGTGACCTGAGTAGGATAGCTCTAGCAGCCCTTCGAAGATTAGCCGGCGGCGTGGATGTGCAACATATGTTTTACACGGAAAACTTCGTGAGTTAATCTCGAAGTTAAAGGATACGCGACTTGTTCAGCCTCAAAGAACACAAGCAAAGGAACGTTGGTGGCTGCTGGTCGAATAAATTGAAGTTTATTCGGTATAGTCCTCACTGGTGGACGTGGGAAAGCGAAGAAGTCAATAAAACATCACTAATTAGGCAGTTGTACGGTTTTGAACCTTGAGGAACCAGCGGCGTCATTAAGCCGAATGAAGCTGCGAACTCCTTCGTCCTTATCCCCACTAGGTTCCTGATCCATCGACAAATTGTTATCTCCGACATTTCTGCGCGCTCTCTGACTGTCCAACAGATCACATTTCGAGAAGCGACGTCACGGGCAACTCCGCATGCCGTGGCAATTGACACAACTTGACTCCAACGATTGCAGCGTTGAGTCGGAGTACCTTAGCCAACTACCAGGATTCGAACGCGGTCGTCCCGTACTCGTCCCTACTAACAGAACGCGTGTTGGGACGGAACCCATTCTGCACCAAATGGCAGACTGACGAGTTGTTGATTGCATGCCGCCCAAACGAAGTCATCCGTGGTTACGGTGAGAAAGCAATACGTAACTGAACGAAGTACAACTCCA